CATGAAATAACCCATATAGGTTGATATGCTGCAAAACAAAAACAACCAATTAATCAAATATTGTAAATAAAACCATTTCATGTAGCACCTGGATGTTTACAATATGCATTTCTTCTTTCTCTGTGTGTTGTGTCTCTTGAGGACATGGTTCTCCACAATTTCCTGTCTTTTGTAGCTCTTAATAAATTTTGGAAAAAATTTTAATCAAGATAACAAAAGTTATCTTGATTAAAATTTTTTCCACCATTCATTTAGTCAAGATAACTAGATAGGTTGTGCATTTTTTCTTGTCTCTCTTGACTTCAATCTGTCCTGTGAGTATCAAATTTTCCAAGCCCTCTTTCTTTATTATGTGTCCTAGAAATTTCAACAGTCTCTTCTTGATATTAAGTATATGTGTCCTTTTCATTTCCATTTTCTTTAAAACTTCATCGTTGCTTACATATACCATGGTATTCTCAGCATCCTTCTGTAGAAACACATTTCTGATGCTTCAAGTTTCTTCTTCATCTGTGAGAGGATTGTCCAGTATTCACTGGCATATAGGAGGACTGATATTGCTTAACATTTCAGTATTCTTTTCTTTGTTTCTAATGAAGTTTTTCTGTTTCTTAATAATTTTCTTAGCTTTTGAACGATCACTATCTCAATGCACCTTTGGATTTCAGTGTCACACTTTCAGTCCTCTGTTAAAACATTTCCTATTTTTAAATAGTTGTATTTGTTTAATTTTGGTATTTCCAATTCATAATTTGCTTGTTGGCTGTTCCTTTTGCTAACAATCATACATTCTGTCATCTTGCAATTGATAGTTCTTTCTTCTCACTTTCTTTCACTACCCTCTGTCAGAATTCTTGTAGTTTCCTTTCTCTGTCTGCTATCAACACTGTGTTATCTGCATATTTTATCTTAAGATTGTGGATGTCAATAATGAATCCGACTAGGACTTTTAATTCTCTCTGAATAGCCTCACTGTATAGGTTGAATAAGATTGGTGAGAAGACACATTCTTGTCTTGCACCCCTTTCTATTTTTATGTTTATTAAATTCATTTTCTATCTGTATGTAGGCAGTATACACCTAATTTAATCTTTTATGTTGACTGATATTCAATATAATTTTTGTGTCTCTACAGTCTTGTTTCTATATGTTAATGAAACCACCTTTTAATTCAAATAATTCACTTATTTACTAAAAATTCTTATGTATGAATTTAACATACTGTACAAAACTAAAATATTTACTTAAAAATAACCTCATCAAATAATGACTTCATATGTATGTCATGCATATCGCCAAACTTGTCCAGAAATGTGTAAACTGTCAGCTGTATAGAACCACTTACTCAATGATTGAAATTTGCTTTCAGTGAGTGACAAAGTGAATATTTGTTTATATGTCTGCACTTATTTAATTTTTCTTGTTTGGTTTGGCTTCTAAAATTAATTAGTTATAATTTTTCCTCTAAGGATAGTTTGCAGTTTTTACTGTTTGAGGGTGTCCTTTTTGTAATTTCCCATTTAATTTTGTGGAGATATTGTTTTTTTATTGGGTCCATATGTATTTTGATAGGGTTGTGTTGGTCTATTTTTTTTTCTATCAAAAGACATTTAGTAGTTATATATCTATCTTATATATCTCTTTTCTTTTTTCTGTACCACCTATATAAACCTTTACCTTTGTGTTAGTATTATTACTTACAGTAGTTTTTTATATTATGTTATTGTTAAAGACATATTTTTATGTTTAACGTTGTTATTTTATAGATACAAGTATTTAAGTTAAATGCTCTGTTTATGATAAACAGTATTAAATAACATTTACCGGCCTGAATGTTAAATAATACTGTTTAAATAAAAAAATTTGCTTTAATAAATAAATTGTCGGACCTTGTCCATTTCTTAATATATGACGTCATTATGTTATTGGTTAAACATTTATTATTAAGTGGGCAATTTTCTTTGTTTTTACATTTGATAGTATTATTCTACTGATTGTTATTGATTTTGTTGAGTATTTATTTTTTTTTTAAATTTTTTTTTTTATTGTGCTTGGTTATTATTTTTGACCATGTTATCCATGCAACTGGAACTGATTTAGTTTTTTTTTTTTTTTTTTTTTTTTGATAATTTGCTGTTTATAGGGAAATATTTGCCAATTATTTTGCAGAATATTTTGCCTGTTTTTATTGTTTTGCTATAGGATGGATTGAACTAAGTTATGTTTTGTGTTTTGTTTATATTGTTTTCTTTTTTATATTCTAGTTTGTTTGAATATCCATTGTTTTTTTAGGGCTGATTTGTATGTTTATTTTCAACAAATATATTATTTTAGTTGCTAGAATATGTTGAAAGATAGGAGTGTTTGTTCAAATATGGTAGGGTGATGGCTGGAATTTTTAATATATATTGTGTTATTCTTTCTTTTTCTGTATGGTTTATATGTTTCGTTGTTTAAATTAAAGGTTATATCTAGAAAATTTACATATTTTTGTTTTATTGGTAAGAAATAAAATTCTTTTTCTGTTGTATCATTAGTGAAACGTACATTTTTTTAAATCTTTCACACTCAGTAACCTTTCATGCCTTAGTGACTTTATTGGTGAAATAATTAAAAAAAGTAATGATTAATTTCAGTCTACAGATTTTCAAATTGTTTTTCAAATTATTGTAGCTCATCTCCAACAGATCTTGCTTTTTTTTTTTTTGTTTTGATAATGCCACATCTTGTCTTTTATTTTCTCAATGGCATCATTTTTTAATTATCTCCAGATATTGGTGCACTAAGGAATATCTCTATTATAATTCTGCTTGTTAATTAGTTAGTTCCTACAACCGTTACGGCCTGCCAATGCCTCATAAATAATGGACAATTTCATTTTGTTTTAGCTAAAGAGTAAAAACATGGATCTGACGTATCAAAGATCCTACTTGGATTCAGTGAGAAAATGTAAAAAAGAAGGGAAATGTTTAGTGTCTGTTTCAGTGGAATGGAAAAAGTTCTCCATTTCAAATCTATTTATTTGTATACCCTTACTTATAAATAAATTTATTAATAAAAATGTTTGCAAGATGGGATTTTGGCTAGTACTGTATTTTTTGGCTTACAAGCTGCTGCAGCTTAGAAGATGCACCCTAATATTGGAAAGAAATTTCTAAGAAACAAAAAGTCATTCTCATACAACAACACATTCACCATGCGTCCCTCACATACTGGCGCCACATATTGTTTGCATTAATCACTTGTCCGATTTTGTTTATATGGCAATGACATACTAGTCAAGAGCAGAAAGGCCACTGCTGCTAGTAAACAGAGCATGTTTAAGCTTGTGGCTCAACTCCAGGAAGGTTTATAGTCTTAGAAATACTTGTAACAGCTGAGGTTGCATCATATAAAAGGCTGAATTAGATAGCTAACATTATAGTGTAATGACTCAACATATAAGTCCATGTCTCTATCAGTCAAGCCAGTTAGGTTACTTGAGCCTGGGCATTGCCTTACATTCATCTTGGAAGATGCACACACATTTTTAGGGAAAAAAGTGCATTTTGTAAGCTGGAAAATATAGTAATAATTTATTTAGAATTAAATAAACCAGTTTGATAATTTGGGGTCACATTCTGAGTGTGTTTCAAGTATAAACTGAAGTGTCAAAAAATTAGACATAGAAGTGTAAATAATTTTTTTTTTCTTTGTAACCCAGTCCCACTTGTAGAAATGAACTCGGCCAAATGATCTATATGTGTCATAGGTAAAAAGGTATTGTAGCGGTAGCAGCCATAGAGCACAGATATATAATGATTTGTAGCAAACAATTTGTATCTTTTTATGCTTGCCATATTTACCAGTGATAGTGTTTCAAAAAAGTAACACCACCTCGTAATAAAATATGGTTGGCATAAAACAGATTCTTAGAACACTCAGTTGATTTTGAATTGCTCCATTGCCCCACACACTGACCAGATTGAAACTCTATTGAGCATCTATAGTATCATACTTATTTTAAAACCCAGGTTGTGTGGGTGTGTGTCTGTTCGTTTATATATTGGATTGAATTTCCTACATTTTTCAACCGATTTAAAAAAAAAAAAAAAAAATTTCACAGGACTACATAAAATTACCTTGCGGTGGTTCTGACAGTGCCAAAAATTGGAAAGACAATTGTTTTTGCACGAAATCAATTTGAAAACATGATTAAGAGGCATCGCTGTCGCGAGAATGAAAGGGGGACAACTCATATCGAGTTATACTTATTATAAAACCCAGGTTGTTTGTGTGTGTGTTCATTTATATATGGGATCGGATTTCCTACATTTTCAACTGATTTCAACAAAACTTCACTTTTTTTTTTGGCAAGTAGTGTTTCTTATTGTCTTGCACACTTTTTTCTTTATTTTTACATTCAGAATGCTTTAAAAATTCCATTTACAAGACAATTGTTTATCATGAAATTCTATTCAAACGGTAGACTCATAACGATTGAAAACAATGTTTTTGTTTCAGTTTGGGTTTGACCAATTCGTAAAAAAAAAAAAAAATAAACTAATTAAGACGTGTGTCCGTCAGCCTTAAACAATAATCTTTGTCAATTTTAAGTCTTTATGATGGTCGATACTTGATCTATCTCTTACTGTTACATCCCCGGGCAACGCCGGGCTCTACTGCTAGTATGTTATAGAACTCATTAAATTTTAAATTTTGACTATTATCAAACTACTTTATGGACTGTTCTAACAGATGGATAGTTATGGTGGAGGGAGTAGTTTGATGTTGTTCAGTTTAATTTGAAAAATCATTGACTTCTGTTATGGTTGATTTTTGTTTCTGCTTTTGATTAAAAGGAAGATCATCATTTGCAAATCAAAATTTAGTCAAATGTTTTGATTCCACTTTTCAGCTTGTTTTCATCTACATTAAATCATAATACATGTTTAAAAAAATGAACCGATTCCTAAAACAAAAGCTTATTTTTATATTTGATTTATATGTCTTTTTTCCAGATACAAGCAGCCGTCTGCAAAGTTCTATCATGCGGCTCCTTGAAATGATGGAGGAAACAACACAGCAGTTACTTGAATCAAAGACAATGCAACAAGAGTTGTTGGACAGTCTAAGGAGTAAAGATGGAGATGTCCAGAATTTGAACCAACGTCTGCAGGAAATGTCTGAGCAACTAAAACAAGAGATTAACTCGAGAGAACATTTGGCATTAGAATTGCACAAATCACAAGGTACCATCTTTTTTCCTTAATTGCTGCTCTTTTTTCTTTTCTTTTTTTTAAAAAATTTTTTTTTTTATTTCTTTTGCTCTAGTTACTCCATTGCTCTTTTTTTTTTTAGGAGTAAAAACTAAGGAGTTCCCTTTCCTCTTCTTTTTCCCTTTCCTCTTCTTTTTCCCTTTCCTCTTCTTTTTCCCTTTCCTCTTCTTTTTCCCTTTCCTCTTCTTTTTCCCTTTCCTCTTCTTTTTCCCTTTCCTCTTCTTTTTCCCTTTCCTCTTCTTTTCCCTTTCCTCTTCTTTTTTTCCCTTTCCTCTTCTTTTCCCTTTCCTCTTCTTTTCCCTTTCCTCTTCTTTTCCCTTTCTGTTTTTTTTTCCCTTTCCTCTTCTTTTTCCCTTTCTGTTTTTTTTTTTCCTCCTCACAGCCATATCATGTTGACATTCTGATTTCTGTATAATCACCGACATTAAATAACATCAAGCCTGGTCAGTACCTAGATGGGTGACTACTTGGAAATACTATATGCTGTTAGCTCAGATGTGTGTGTGTGTGTTGTTAATGGATAATGGAATTGTTAATCAGAGAGCCAGGTTCCAATTCCACTCAGATTCATTATATTCACTTACCTGCTAATACTCTTAGGAAAGGCATGAATTCACCTCTTCTTCTGCATGCTATGGGTTAATTAGTAAGATTTGTATCACTAAATTATCTTAAAAAAAATTCTTACAAGCTAAAAATATTTTTCAGACTTTAAATAACCTGCAACTTTCAATTTCGTTGGTTCTTTTTTTTTGCTCCCCCCCTTACACTTTTTTCCTTACTTTTCGTTGCTCCCCGTTCCCCTTTCATTTTTTTCCTTTCCTCTGTTTCCTCCTCTTCACTTTCTTTTAATGCTCTCTGTTACAATTATATGAACAACTTAATTGTTAATCTCTTCTCTTTCTTCCCATGTCACAATAAATGATAATACTAACTCTACTTTACCGTAACTCCTAAATCTGGTTATTATTAGATAAGCATTAAGACTAATATCAAAATACAAAAGAAAATGGTTTGTGAATGGTTGCTGAAGTATTGTGACCTGAGCTATAATTAATCTTTTTTTAAAATCTCATGTTTCGATACTGGGAAGTGGATCAGATCAATAAATTTTCAGTACCTTAATGACCTAAAAGCGTTGCTATAAGATGGAAATGAATTAATGCAGAATTTCCTTCTAACTTTTAAACACTCCTTAATTTAAAAAAAAAAAAAAACCCAAAAAACACTTTCCTACATGACCACTGTATAAGAATTGATGTGCCATCTAACACTACTCATTTCTATTTTTCCTTTCTTTCTTTTTCTGGACATTTCTTCAGGTTTGGTTGAGGGTTTCAGTGAAGAGCGTGACCAATTGAGCACTCGTCTGAAGGACCTTGAGGACAGGGAAGCTGTCCTGGCAATGGAAAATGAAACCTTACGCAACAAACTTCATGATCTGCAGATGTCAGAAAGTGAAGTTAAGTCCCTGCACCAGGAAGTGCAACGCCAGCAGACGATCCTCTACGACAACGCCGGGCGGGAGCATCAAGGTTTTTGTCGTTTTTTAAAAGTCTTGTTCCCTTTAGGGATTGTCATGTCTGGTGGATTTCTGTTTTGGGACAAGTTATATGACTGTGTCGCGTTCAGTATGCCGGAAATTGAATTGTGAAATGTCCAAAAAAAAAAAAAAAAAAAACAAACTTTCCAGTTGGAGATATTGATAGATTTATTTTTTTTTTTTCTTTTTCATAATAATTTTGTATTCTTTATTTATTTTGTGGTTGGTTGATTTTCACTCATGCATCAAATATATAGGTATTTACTAAGCATAGGTTAATCTGACAAAAAGCAATAGATATTTAAATTATTTTAAATTGAAATTATTTAAATTAAGGTATTGTTTTTGTGGGTCATGGGTATATGGGTGTGTCCTGTCAAAGATTGATAGAAGTGTGGGCAAACATGCCCACAACAATACATAGTGTCAAATTGCCATTTTTTTTTTTTTTTTTTTTGTTTTGTTTTGTTTCTTTTTTTATCTTGACACTGCTTTTTTAACTACCTTCACTCTTCGGTAATGTTTGTTTTTAAAAAGCAATGATCAGAAATGTAATAAAACTGTAATGACAAAACTACGCAGGTAGAAAGCTTTAAGAAAGCTTTATTCAACTGAGAATACAAGATTCACGTATAGTGTCCTTTTATAGTCCCAGTAAACATAAATACCTCTCTCAAAGAGGAGAGTAACAAAACAAGGGTAGACAACTCTTGATTATTCATAAAAAAAAAACTAAACATACATAAGTGAATTTATACATTTTCTTTGCTCTTGAGAATTGTCAATAAAAAATAAAACACTATTAGATTGTTTATTTATACTATTTATTATATTATTTATTTGAATGGTTGGCAAAACATCAGCAAGTTACCAATTGATTCAAACTTTATAAAATGGTAAATAAGGATTTCCTTATAGTTGGTTTACATATATTTATAAATTTATGGATAAAATGTTGTTTTCATGTTTGTCTTTATAAATTGGTAAATGATAAATATTGCATTGTATTAGTTTTTAGGATGTTGTAAATATGAAATTATTCTTGCAAATAAACAATCTGTTAAATAGTTCATAATATTTTTGTTGTAAATTCTCAAGGAAAAAAAAAATGTATAAATTTACTTTCATTATATGATGTTCCAATTCTAACCATCGCTTTTTAAAACAAACACTGCCAAAGAGTGGAGATAGTTAAAAAAAATAAAAAATAAAAATGGTGTCATGGGAAAAACCTTTGTTTTGACATTGTCTTATTGCAGGCATGTTTATCTATGATAGCCTGTCTTTATATCTTCATAAATTATATTGCTAGATTTTAAGATAGTTAATGAACTTATTTAAATGCTACTGGAT